TCAACTCCAACACATGTGAGGTGGTCAAGCCTGAGACAAATGACTGGCAATCGCTTTATTTCCACTTTTGCGCTATAAGAGCACGTGTTAGGCCAGGTTGGCTAGAGAAACAAATCCAGAGACATGCATATATGTGTGATAAAGAGCTCTATATGGAGAAGTAATGATATACCAAGAAAACATCCCAGCCCTGTCCAACTCAAGGCCTTAAGTCCCTCTTCAGACTCACACAGTCACAAGCAATGATGCAGAATGCAGGAGTATCACAAGTTGGTGGGTTCAAGGTCATGTGCATCCAGTGGTGATGGTAACATCACAGGGCTCTGGAATAATCAGGTTCAGCCAGCAGGAAGGTGAAGGCAGGGAGAGAAGGAGAGGTTCCCAGGGTCCTACTTATGAGAAGGCCACACCCACAAGGAGGGGGCATCAGGCTGTGACGTGATTGGCAGGCTAAACTCCACCCCTTCACTTTTATACAGCTTCAAGTTGACATGAGAGTATGTACCTACCACAGGGAAGAATTGAGTAGTGTGAGAGTGCACCAGAGAGTGTGAGGCCTCGGATATTTACTGTCTGTTTTTTACAACAAAAGTTGACGGTCCCTGTCCTAGATCCTCAAGCACCTTGTCCTTTGGATTTGCTCACAAGTGTTGTGTTCTCCTTGCCATGCTCTTTGCCGTGTTGTATATTACCCCTATAACTGAGGTTTCTACTTATGCTTCCAATATCTGTTGTTATCCCTCCTTGCCTTCTGAGACCGAGATGCTCCCCACAGACTTGCACAAAGCTGTGTGCATGTCTCAGTTTTGGTTATGAATCTCCTGGTGCTTTTATGTGGATCTGCCACCACTCGGGTTCCTGATGGAAGAGTAGGTCTTATGATTCCAGGACGCCAGCAGCTAGCTGGAGTTTTTGAATGATCAGCTGGAAGCTGGAGGATTGTGGCATAGATCTCTAGGTACCATGTCTTAGTGTCAACATTCTGTGCCGCCATAGCGTTCTCATTTCTCCCCTCTCGAAATGGCCCAATAGAAAGGGTTTCATCGCCTTTGTCTTTGCAGATCTCCAACCTCTACCTGTATGACAGTGTTCTGATGCTGGCCAACGCCTTCCACAGGAAGCTAGAGGACCGGAAATGGCACAGCATGGCCAGCCTCAACTGTATCCGGAAGTCGACCAAGCCATGGAATGGAGGGAGGTCCATGCTGGACACTATCAAAAAGGTGCACGTTCAGAATGCCCTTTCAAGCGGAGGCCCCAAATCAGGACCCTCCTTACAGCCCTGCTCCCCTTCCCCACTCTCTGCTCTATCCAGCTACTGCTCGGCAGTAGGTCCCTTTGCTCCCTCCCACAAACCTTTCGTCCCCCAACACTTTCTGGCACCACCCTGGCAGTCTCTAATGATTGATGCTCTGTATCATCATCATCATCATCATCATCATCATCATCATCATCATCTCCATTGCAAAGACCAGGAGACGGAGCTTCAGTTAAATAACGTGCCTGAGATAACCTTTAAGGGAAAGTAGTTTTTAAGCTACTATCTGCTACACTCCTTTACACGCACAATCCGCAAAAGAAATGTTCTTTTCAGTGGACACTGGCACATGCTAACCGGCCAGGACCTCCTTGCATGCACGTCTGTGTGAATGTGCATGTGAAATGTATACTCACGCACATGCAAAGCTGCTCTTCATTTGAGATATATCCATGAGCTGAGGACCCATACCAAATTAGCCGATGGAGTTGAAAGTGAATTGTCTAACCCATGGAAGACTTGTTAGGGTGAATGCGCGTCAAAGTGAAGAGGCTTCAAAAGAGTGTTTAAGGAAATCTATCGTGTTAGGAGCCTTATTCACGATAAATTGTGTAGCATCAGTGACAGTAACCTAGTTCTGGTGTGGGTTTGAATCCGGTGCAGCCCTTAGCTGAGTCAGACCCTTCTGAGCCTGGCTTTTAGCCCCAGGCTGGAAGCAAGAAGCAGTCTCCCCAGGCTAAGTGTTCCACATTTGCTGCACTCAGGAAGCCCAACGAGTCTATAGAAAAGGTTGGCGCTTTCTACAGCAGCCTGGGCCTCAGCTGCACGGTGTCCACTAATCCTGACAGTGGTGTGATGAAGGAGCTGTGTTAACCCAATAATGGAGTCGAAAAGTCAAAAATGGCTCATCAAAGGCGAGCCAGGTAGCAAAGCCAGGATTCGAACTGGGTTGTAGCTCCTAACCCTCATGGTTGCTGCCTGGCGACTTCTTGCCACGCACCGCTGTCTGCTGGACCTCTCGTGGCTTGGACGAAGAGGAGGACCTGGAATTAGGACCTGGAGCAAGACTCAGGTCCAGGAGTGCAGGGACTGAAGGAAGGGTCATGCTGCAAATTGCCAGCTAGCACAGTGCTTGGTGCCCAGCAGATATTTGAAACAAACGGAGGCAGATACAAGTCTTGTGGACTTTCCATGTAAGAAAGGATCTGGGAAGTGTGGCGTCTCGTCCAAGGTCTGAGCACTGCTGGAGAATCATTCCTTTTGACAGTCTGTTCAAGGCATCCTTGACGCTCGATTTCCCGCTTCTTGGTGACCCTACTC